ACATTTGAATGCTTGGAGGAAGATCAAAGTCATCTTTAAAATGTGCATGCCTTGAGCACTCTCTGAAGGCATGTCCAGAAGATGAAGCACCCTTGCAGTGACGGAGTGGTGCCTTTTCTCCTGCAACTGCCCTCCTGGGACCAGCCACTCAATTCATTTTTCTTTCTTTTTTTTTTTTTTAGATTTTATTTATTCATTTGACAGAGAGAGGGAACACAAGCAGAGGGAGTGGGAGAGGGAGAAGCAGGCCTCCTGCCAAGCAGGGAGCCTGATGCGGGGCTCGATCCCAGGACCCTGGGATCATGACCTGACCCAAAGGCAGACACTTAACGACTGAGCCACCCAGGTGCCCCCACTCAATTCATTTCAACTGCTCTTATCTTCACCTTGGAAAACCTACGTTTTCCTACAGGGCCCAGACAAGATAAAGCATAGCGGATCTTCAGACTCCTCATTTTTTTCCCCTAGCAGCCCGACCTTTTACTCTGGAATGTCCAGATGATGCAACCTTGCTTTGCATTCCCTCAAATGCCCTGAAGTGACGAAAGAGGATGTGATGTCCTCACATAACCTAGTGAGTAGCTTTCGTGAGTCATGGAGGAAGGGCAGCTACTGAAGCCTCCAGTCGGTCAGGAAAGGCATCTTCTGGGAGGGAAAATGGGGGTGGGTGGGAATGGGGTTGGGATCCAAATGCTACCACTCAGGAGTTTGGTTGATTCTGTATATTAGTTTCTGGATTTCTTTGCCTCCATCTTTTGATAAACAGTACTCTTGTGGGGCAGTTTCTTTCTAGGTAATATCCTGATTTTGCTTTCCTGAGGCCAGAGCTTCCCAGTTCCAGGCGAGCAAGGCCCTCCAGAGATCAGTGAACCGTCTCTAAATGAGGCCACTGCTTTTTTTCCTCCTTTCCTCCAAGAATAACAAAAGGGCTATTGACTTTATCTAGGCTTTGGGGGTTTACCGATAACTGTACTGAACCTTGTGATACCTTACAGTTGGGCAGACAAAGTGGAGATTTGTAGATGAAACCAGAAATGTCTCTGCAATCCCGGAGAGACCTCCTCCAAATCACGCACGGCACTGGATTTTCCTAGCGAGGAGGAAATGATACATCAATTGTGTGGTTAGATCTTATGGCTTGCTTGGGAGTTTTGTGGCCCTGTTTAGCCTAGGCCACTGAGAATCGTCCCCAGTGATCTCCCATCCATGGTCAATAACCTCATAGTGTGAGGTGCAGTCACCTAATTCAATATATACAGATCAATATGTTGTTCCCAAAGCTAATTTAACAAGGCCTACTTCTGGTTGTTTATATTATATGGCTTTCACTTAAAAAGTCTAAGATTGCAGGGGAGGGAGGCCCGTTTCCCAGCATAGGGGTTATTATGAAGCCCTGTGTGGAGCCCAGAACAAAGTCTGCTGCTTCCAGAAGGTGGGGATGGTTAGGTGAGATTTAGGGACCAAGATGACAAAGGTGAACTTCATGTCCTACTGTGATTTCAGCTGCTCCATGAATGGGCATCTCAGCCTCACGCACGCAGCCCGAGCACCTCAAATCCCTCCGTGTGAAACGATTGTGAACACTTACCTTTGCTTAATCCCCACGTGATCTTTTACAGGAGGAAACATTCTAGGTCTTAGACTGTTTAGTTGAAAATGTCCCATTTTCAGGGCGCCTGGGTGGCTCAGTTGGTTAAGCGACTGCCTTCGGCTCAGGTCATGATCCTGGAGTCCCGGGATCGAGTCCCACATCGGGCTCCCTGCTCAGTGGGGAGTCTGCTTCTCCCTCTGACCCTCTTCCCTCTTGTGCTCTCTCTCATTCTCTCCTTCTCAAATAAATAAATAAAATCTTTAAAAAAAAAAAAAAGAAAATGTCCCATTTTCAGAAAGGGCTTTCCCCTTTATTGAATGGGGGTTGCTTACTAAGTCTCACTAGGTTGGATTTACTGTTTGCTCTAATAACCCAGGTAATAAGGCCAAGGGGTGTGAGCTATAGTCCTCAGCCATGTCAGTGGCAAGGGCCCTAAAACTTTTCTGAACTTGTGAAGCTGCATGTCTGTGGATTACCCATGCGAATGGGGGGTGAGAGTGTATGGTGTTTTTTGGGGGCAAGAGGTACTAGCATTTACTGAACATATTATGCGCTAAATGCATCACATCCATTTTCTCATCAAATACTTAGTCTCACGAGACGAGATTTGTTATCCTCATTTCACAGGGTAAGAACCAAGGCTTAGATCACTGGCAAGAGTCCCAGGGCTGATTAGGTATCAGGGCTGTGTGCCCACTCACTGGTTTCTGTGCTGCCCTGCTGGGCAGTTAGAGAATACAGAATATCGATCCTGTTGCATAGAATCTTCTTGGCATTCTACCAGGGCTCTGCAGGACCATTTCCTCTTTCTGTTCCAGGAGGGAAGATTCTTAACACCTGCAAAGCCAACACCATTGCTGGCTCACTGCCTGACTATAAGCCAAGCCCAGTTTTCTCAAGCTCTCCGAACGGGGTGTGTTTTTAATAGAGGGCCTTGTACCCAGTGGGCTCACAAAGATTTGTTGAGGAATAGTCATTTATTAGAGCTGATAACACTGTTCCTCTGTACATGAGTATACTCTGGGCAAGATCAAAGTCATAGGGGGGGCCCTGCTCAGGCGTATTAACTCTTCCAAACAAGTCTCTGAGTAGCTGTGGTGCTGGGTGTTTTATCCCGTGTCACCTGAAGAGGTAGCTGTCCTGAATTAGTCTGGCCAGGTAGTGATAAGCTTTTCTGTGACACTGTCCTCTCTCAGTAGGGTAGGGAGTTGTCCATTTGTTTGTTTGTCTGTCATAGACAAGTGAGTCCACCAGCAGGACCCCATCATGACACAGGTTCCGGGCAGGACTATGGCATCCCTTAATACAGCACTGGTCGTTCGCAGGCACATCTCAGAGGGCAGGACTTGTCCTCCTGTGAAACCAGGGCACCATCACATGGAGATAAGACTCCCTCCCAGTATAGGAATTTCTAGCCAAATTATACCATCCCTTTCCTCTCAGTGATAAAATACGGACGAACTGTACCTCATTTAGGGCACTATTTCAGCCTTGTCATCCCCACGGATTCACGTGAAGAATCAGGTTACTTTTCCTCAAGCCCTGCTTTATTATCTTTGAGTGTAAACAGTTTTGAAAACAATAATCCGTTTCCCATCTGAGTCAACTGACCATGTCTCCACCTTCCCACACCCCCTCTGAGTAAGTGAGATGAAAGAATAGATAAAGGAACAACAAGGCTGGCAAGGAGGAGGGACGGAAGTATTTATTGAGACTGAAATGGAACATTGTTCTCTTTTATGAGTTAACAGCACAGTGTGTTAAGACGCTGGTTATAAACTTGCTCCAAAATAAGGATGACCTGCAGCTCACGGACAGCTCTGCCAGCTCTTGTGCCTCAAATCTGAGCCAAGGCCAAGGGGTAAGACATTTCAGCCCCTGACAAATGATGGATTCAACTGCGTCGACATTTAGATCGACTTCCAATGCACACCATCCATATTTGCATTTTAAAAACTCACATTCAATCACTGGTCCATATTTATGGTGTTTGCACAACAATCCAGTATCATTCTCTTCTAGATTTCAGGTACGGGTGGTCAATAGTGAACATTTATTTACTTTCCCATGATCTTTGGCACAGTGTCTGGTTTCTTAAATACTAAAGCACAGGCTGAAATTGGCTACTCGATACTGCAGAAATGGGACTATTTTGGATCTCAGTGTAAATACAAGTTTTTATGTTGTGTTATTTACAAGATGAGAGCTGAAGCACAGATTTTTAATAAACTATCTTCATAAATTAGCAGAAGAATGATAGGAAACGGATGGTAAGGAGCAGGGCCGAGATGACTAGACTACTAGTTGGAACAATCCCCCCTTGAGGAGGAGACGAGTTTTCATACAATGGAAGAATTTCCCTGAACCACTGATAACCAATGTCTCATATTGTGGGACTTAACTCTGCAAGAATCCAGGGTAGGGACCGTGCTTCTTCTGGCCAATGTGACTTGTTCAATCCATCAAACCCATGTTCAAATACAACTCAGCTGGTAGCCTGCCACTGTGGTTTGGGCCCTGAGAGGTACAAAAGGGTGAAGTCCTGTCATTTTTAAGTGGGTATAATTGACCTTGGAAGAATGAAGCCGTCCAGCTGGATAAAAACACATCCAGCCTTATGTGCGTGACGCCTTTGTATACCATCTTACATAGAGCTGATATGGATTCCCTCCCAGCAGTAGAGCCTGGGAGTTGTAGATGAATGGCAATGCCACCTTGGAGTATCACCCTAAGACATGTCTGCTTTGAGGCTGACACACACAGGTGGAATAATCAGACAGTATGATTTTTCAATCTCGTGCTCCTGAGGCAGGAGTATGGATAAGTCCCAAAGCAGATCTGGATTGAGATCGTAGTTATTATTCAAGTACAAGGAGAGCTCTTTATTTCACATTGACAGTTCAATTCTGATCTCTGGCAACCTATATGAAAATAATAAATATATACACATCTATCTATTTAGCTCTATACTGAACACTGGGTTACTAGTTACCAGTGTCCCAATACAGTACATTGAAGAAAGAACCCTTCCCACAAAACCCCACGCCCAGCTTAAAACACTGATTGCAGAACTGTGCTGGTCTGTTTTCTTTCAAAGCGGTTACTTTGAAATTGGCTGGAGATGAGTTAAAAATGGACAATTTGGCACGTTGATGGGGGAGAGGTGTTTATATGTATTCTAATCTAGAAAAATGTGAGAGGTCAAAGGAAATCCATGCCAATAGAAAGCTTGAGTAAAAATTTGTAATCAACAAGAGTATTTTTTTTTTTTAAAAACCTAAAACACTGGACTGGGTATGAGAAAGCAATTTTTCTTTCACATCCATGTCCTAATCCAACAGTTACTACTCCATCTGCTTCCAAACTTTGTCTCTCATAGAGTTTTTACAATCCAGACATGGATCCAGCTTTCCTTTTAATCTATTTTCTTTCATGTTACCCCACCCCAAATCCCAGAACCCGGAGAGTGAAAGCTGTGAATCCAAATATAGAAAATAATCTGGAAGTCTATATATCAAATCAAATGTACAGTTGGCCATTAGTGTTCTTCTCTTCGCTATTTAATGTTTGAACTTGCTAAGAGATGACTCTCATGGAGCTGTTCTTCATCATTCCTGGTCCTGTGAAGCCAGGGATCCTAGAACTGTGAGGTCTGGGTGAACGAGATGGTGTCAGACTTGTCTACGGCGAAGCCTCCGTTGACATAGGACTTCTTGGTTTCTGAGTCTTCGTTATCCAGGATTGTGGATTCCAAGGCAAAAGGGTTCACGATGTTGACTTCCGATGAAACATCCATCTGCTCTAGCTCCTTCTTAGACAGCTTCTCCACAATGCCTGTCCCAAACGCGTCACCGAGGACGTTCACCATGGTCCTGAACCGGTCCCTGGGGAACAGAGAGACAGGAGGCCTGCAGTTCAGTTCCAGTTGCCACTGGAGAGAGAAAAGGATCTGAAGCATTCAGGTATGAATTAAGTAAACAGAGAAAGTGCCATCCTCGTGGCTGGATCAGAGGCTGCTCTCCTCACAGGCCTGGGGCAGAAGGGGTCTCACAGAAGTACAGAATGAGCAAACGGGCTCCCCGGGTGTGTGCTCCCAGGAAGTCACAATGACCCTCCTAAATCCAGCACCAGTGTCCCAAAATTCCATCCTCCCCTCCCAAACAAATGTGAATAGTCTTTGCAGCTATTTTGGGGGAGCTGAGGGAGAGTCAGAATTGAACAAGCCTCTCACGCCTACCCTCTGTCTTGGGGTGTTTCCAGGTTCGCTCTTGGCTAAGTAGAGGGCATCCTGTGGGTGGTGTACATGCTGAGGGGGAGTGTGTGTCTGTGGGTGCAGCCGAGTGTCTCTGTGTGTTTGTGTCCCTGGTACAGTCATTTCTCTGCCACATGGCGTCACTCTACAAGCAAGCCAGCAGGGACACCACAGAGCACAGGCCCAGAAAGCTCGGACCAGCTGAGGAGTGGCTTCCTCCTTGTGGCACCCTGGGCCGGCCTGAACTCCCAGACGGCTTGGAGGAGACGCTGCAGCAGGAAGGTGTGCAGCAGGGAAGGCATCCTGGTGAGAGGACCGTGGGGCACTGCTGGGAACAAGTGTGCACGTGAACACTTTCTCATGAGAACGACCTCTGCAGGACAGAAGAGGCCAACAGTGTTTATCTAGCCCCATTCTGGATGCCCTGCTGTGATCTAGAATGAGGCCATGGATTGAACTAGACCCTGGTATGAACCAACCAGTGTCTTTTCATCCCACGGACCAGACCGAACCTTTGACTTCTCTCGGTATCTTGGAACTGAAGGTCACCGGTTCCAGGACGAATCAGGGAAAGGAGACAAGTGCAAACCCACCCTCATCACTAGAAAGAAAACTCGAAGCACTTGCCTCAGTGAGAGGGTATCTTGGCAAGAAAGGGGCCACCTCAGCTGGGGGCTTGCAGAACCAGCCAGCTGCTGGGGGGCCTTACACAGCCTGCCTTCTGGAGCTTTTGCCTTCTGGGGGGTGACTGTATCTTCATCATGTCAGCTACTACCTGCAAACCACCCAGCACTGTATGCCCCGGGAACCCCGGGCTGGTTCTGAGTAAAGGCTCCACATGGAGCCATGCGTGCCCCCTGATGGCCAGGGGACAGAGCCAGGCCTCGATGCAGGAAGACCAATGCACAGAGTGGGTATTAAGGACAAAGCCAGGGACCCCAGGTTCATTCTAACTTGAACCTTGCGGGGGGGGTCACACAAGGCATATTCCTGCCCAGATGTTCTGCTGTGTTCCTCAGCCCTGTGTGTGTGTGTGTGTGTGTGTGTGTGTGTGTGCGCGCGTGCACGCACCTGTGCATGTGTGTGGATGTGAGAGAGAGAGCTGTCGATTGAGACGTGAACTGTCCATTCTAATCATAACAATAAAACCTGCCATTTATTGAGCACATATCGGCCGCCAGACACTGTTCTAGACGCTGTGCTCACATCAGCCCACTCAGTCCTTGCACCCACCTAATGAAATATGCAGAACCTTTCCCATCTCACAGATAAGGCAACTGGGCCTCAGAGAAGCTAAGGAACTTGCTCCAGGCCAAACAGCCATTGAGACACTGAACAGGGATTCACACTCAAGCCCGTCTGACCCCAAAGCCTTTGTTCGTGCCCCCGCCCCTGACGATGCTGAAGGTCTCGGGGAGATGGGCTGCCTCTGAACCAGGCAGTTCTAAACCAGTGAGGCTGACCCAGGGCCCAGAGAGGTGAGGGGAGCCTCTGGGGTCTGGAAAGTCCAGGACCTTGTCCAGCTTCCTCACCTTAGTATTTTATGCGTGTCTCCCCCCACACCCACCTCCTATCCTTGAGCATTAGCAGGTAGAAATGCACTAATGGAGAGCACTGGCCTTTTTAAAAATCACCGCCAGAGTTAACGAGTTAATTTTTAAGCATGTTATCAGATGGCCTGGTCAGAGGGACATTAAAGCGGCAACAGATGGCGCATCAGGCAATGTGAGGAGAGGATGGCGACAGACTGCAGACTCTGCAGGGCTGGGAAGCCCGCCTGCCCAGCCGGCCGAGGCACTGCGTCTACCCCAAACTCACAGGAGCCAGTCAACGGCGATGATTAGGGTCACATCCTCCGCAGGTAGCCCCACAGCACTCAGCACGATCACCATGGTCACCAGGCCGGCCTGAGGCACCCCGGCAGCTCCGATGCTGGCGGCCGTGGCTGTGACACTGCAGCCAAAACACAGCGGCGCAGAAGGAGTTAGACACCTGTTCCTCCCCAAAACCGTTAGTCCCCTTGGCTGTTATCGCTGTGTCCCCAGATGGGCCGGGTAGAATCTGTTCTCTGCTGAGCATCAGCTCGGCCTCACTGGAGAGCTGTGGGGGGCCGGGGGGGGGGGTGTCGATCTCCTTCCAGTGGGGGGAGATACAGCAAATCTGTCTGCCAGGAAGGGAAGAACTGCCTGAGGGGCAAAGAACGGGCAAGAGGGATATTCAAGAGGAAGGCAGGAGTCCACCAACCGGGGTGTGCGCAGAAGGCATTAGAGACCCCTGCAGGCATCCATCATCTTCAACAGGTGCCAGTGACCTCTCTCCCTGATTTCCTTCTCCCTGTGTCCAACTACTCACACGGCCAATCACTCATTGGCATCTCATATGCCCGGAGGTGATGTTGCCTTGATGGCCGGTCAGAGGGAGGGTATACATGTAGATGGGAAGCGTATTTCAGGTGAAGGCGAAGGAAGGGGGCAGCGATCAAGCAGGTTTTATGCACTTTCCTGACATCACAAGGCTCCTGGCCTCTGGAGCTGCCCTCCATGGCACTGAACTGAGGGACAGCCATGCCTCCTGGCCGAGGTACAAGCATTTATTCCTGACTGCTCCATTCTGCCAGTGGATGCACTTTCTGCAAATGGAAGCGAGGTCTGGAACCGAGAGAGGCAGTCAGATGAACCTCATTACTGTGTATTTAAAAAGATCCCTCCTGGGCAGATAACATGTGGCACTAGGGATTCTTCCCTTTGGAATGCGCTGGTTTTCATCGAAAATATCATCCTTATTTAAATCTGGTCATTTTGCAGATGTTGGCAAGGATGCAGAGAAAGGGGAACCCTCTCATACTGTTGGTGGGAATGCAAGCTGGTGCAGCCACTCTGGAAAACAGTGTGGAGATTCCTCAAAAAGTTGAAAACAGAGCTACCATATGATCCAGCAACTGCACTACTAGGTATTTACCCCAAAGACAGAGATGTGGTGATTTGAAGGGGCATGTGCACCCCAAAGTTTATAGCAGCAATGTCGGCTATAGCCAAAATATGGAAAGAGCCTAGAAGTCCATCAACAGATGAATGGATAAAGAAGATGTGGTACACACACACACACACACACACACACACACACACTGGAATATTATACAGCCATCAAAAAGGGAAATCTTATCATTTGCAACAACGTGGATGGAACTAGAGGGTATTATGCTAAGCAAAATAAGTCAATTGGAGAAAGAATTATCATATGATATCACTTATATGTGGAATTTAAGAAACAAAACAGAGGATCATAGGGGAAGAGGAAAAATCAAACAGGACAGAATGAGAGAGGGAGACAAACCATAAGAGACTCTTAACTGTAGGGAAACAAACAGGGTTGCTGGAGGGGAGGTGGGTCGGGCTGGTGTAACTGGGGGATGGGCATTACAGACGGCGTGTGATGTGATGAGCACTGGGTGTTGTATGCGACTGATGAATCCCTGAACTCTACCTCAGAAACTAATAGTACATTATATGCTAATTAATTGAATTGAAATTAAAAAAAGGAAAAAAAATAGGTCTGGTCATTTTGGAGGAAACAAGGGCTCACCATGCCCTGAGAAGCCCCTGAATTTTGAATGAACTTGAAAGGATACCCACTCTACGTTTTGGACTCCTATTCTCATCCTTAGGCCAAGGAGGCCACTGGGTTGAAAGGTGAAGATGTAGAAAATGTCCATTTAAACTAGAAGAATCCCTGATTCTGTCCACAAATCTATATTCTTGTGGGCTCAAAAGCCTCAGAGTTCGAACGAAGCTGATTCCATGACTCATTCATGTGCTGCAGATGGTGTTGGAGGGTACAGTCAAGCAAAAGCCAGCATTCTTCGACAAGTGTCTTTTCTTTCAGCGGCTGTGGCCACCAATTCACAGTAAATTAAAGATTTCTGGGCTGTCCCAATTCCTCGAAATGTTTCAGGCCTACAGAATCCTTTAGATCTGTTCTGACTGAAGTACTCTTTGGAAAACCTAAGTTTATTTCAATGCTGGTTGAAAAAAAATTCAAACTGAATGCAACAGTGGGTTTTCTCTGCCAGAAGTGATTTGTGCCCATGACCACGGATCCCTTTTGGAAGTCCTAACACATCACGGTTAACCACGTCCCTCTAGCCTGTGGCTGGGCTCGAAACTCAAAACCCACTTTGTCAAAGAAAACTCTGCCCTGGATCCTTGACCTTGCTTCCTAAACTTCAGCCATTTGGCTGGCTTTGGTCTGAGACTGGGAACTATAAATCTTCAGAAGGGGGAAAAATATAAAAACCTATTCCTTTGGCTTGAATATATTCGACTTTGTCTTTAGAGGGTTTTCACAGACGAACACAAAATAATCACCGGTAGAAAGTTCTTTCCTGGCATTGAGATCTAGTTTTCAGACAGGACACTTAGCTCAGGTCCCATCGAGGCTAGGCCTGGGGTGTGAACTGAAGCTTGCAGAGGTTTGAGCGTCAGAAAGACCTGTTTTCAGTAGCAGCACATCCTTAGGCAAGTTCCCTCTGGATCTCAGTTCTTGCCTGTGGGATGGGGAGACTATGTCGCGGGGCGTCATGAAGATGAACTGAGGTAGGATGTGGAGGCATCCGGGATAGCACCTGGCCGCGTCGGATGCTTCCACACTGAGGCCACTTTTGCTACGTCAGCAGCCGCTAGTCCCACTTGCGCCGCCCCCGGGATCACCCTTCATTGCTACAGAACCCCACAACTGCTCCTTTCCTCCTCTAGGCCCCAAATCCAGTCATCATCTTTCATTTTAAGCATATTTATCCTATTTTCAATCAGTCGTAACCTTTGATTACTGAATATAACGATAAAACCACATAAGGGTTTGTCTTGGGTGGATGGTGCCTAAGTTTCTTTGATGTCGGGCCAAACGGGCCACAGAAGGAGATGAACCATGGGTCTCTAACCATCAGCCGCATGAGCCGCAACTGTAACTTGTGAAGGGAAAAACCATGTTTATTATTTCATTCTGTCCCTGGCAGAGCCAAAGAGGATTTTAAATTTTAGGTCAGTGATTACTCTGGGCCTCACAGTTGTGGTTGTTGGCTCTGGGCCAGTGGTTATTTATCAGCAAGTCTGATTTAAGGATACAGGGGCGCCTGGCGGGCTCAGTCGGGAGAGCGTGCAACTCTTGATCTTCAGGGTCGTGAGTCTGAGCCCCATGTCGGGTGTTGAGATTAATTAAAAATAAAATCTTAAAAAAAAAAAAATACACCAGAGCCGGGGGTGGGGATGGGACAGGTTTGGATGTGAATTATTTAGCCTCTCTGCCCAAAGTTTATTTGTCTAGCAGTCAGGTTAACAAAAAAACAAGGTTAGAAAGATCTAGGGAACTCATGACTGAGGGAGGGCGAGGGGCTTCACCACGAAGCAGCAAATACCCAAACCAACGGGCACCTCTCGGAAATCAGTCCAGGGCAGACTGGGTCCCACAGGCCACGGTGAGGGAGGTGGCCAAGGGTACTTGGAAGGACCAAAGTGACAAGCACTGGACCCCAGGTGGTTGTGGAGCTTTCTAAGGCACGATGCAAGGTTTCGATTTTAACACACTCACTGCTGTTCAAACTACAGGACTGTCCTCAAGTTCTTTCAGCTCTTAAGCCACGGACACTTTATAGACCACGCAGCACAGAGAGTTTCCCAGCTGATGTGCCAATGGTCTAGTCGGCATTTGTCTTCAGTTAGCTTCAAGCTAACGGCACTAAGTACTTTATGATTTAGGGTTGGGGAAGACTTAAAAATATACCATATTAGAACATTGTTAGAACCTACTCTATGCCTGCAGTTTACGCCTGTGCCAAGTACCGGGGATGCAAGAGTGAGTTAACTCGGAAAGGCCAGATTCAGCCTTGTGTAGGCCTCGGGACCCAGTTTAGTTGTGAACTTCCACTCTAAACTGAATGAATTAGCTCTAAACCCAACCCATCCCTGCAAAGCAGCGCTGGCCAGTAGAATCTTCCGTGACGGAACCTAATTCTACAACGATGGAACCTCCTGTGTGTGTCTGCTCGGTCCAATCCAACCTGTGTGCGGCTGGTGGCTACCATCTTGGACAGGACTATTTTAGAGCAACGACGCTGGCAAAATTCATTAATGACATTTTCAGCATCTACTTGAGTAGACAATTTCGGTCTTCATCCGAGTAGAATTCTCCGCAGTATCAGGCTCTGTTGAGTGTTTCATCCTTGGAAATCTCTCTTCTCTGGGCTTCCATGATGTGATGGCTGTCCCCACCTTTCTGTTCCTTCTCGGTCTCCCTCTTGGCTCTCCCCCGCTCTGCCTGCCTCTAACATCAGGATTTTCTAGGGCTCCGTTCTTAGTCGTCTTCTCTTTGGCACAAACCCTCTCTACGACGCAACACCATCCCAACATTCTCAGCATCTCCCGAGCGCCCACTATGTACACACTGTTTGAAGCATTTTACATGCACTGGCTTAATTATCACTACTTGCATAAAACGTAGGCACTCTTATTATCCATATTTTACAGGTGAGAAAACAGAAGGTTATAGAATTCAAGTACCTCGGCCAAGGTCACCGTTAATCACGGGGAAGCTAAGTCTCAAACATGGATGACTGACTCACGATCATGTGCTTGATGACCGCCCTCCCCCGATGCCTCTGACAGTCATATCTGCACATTTCTCACTGCAGAGTTCCACCTGATGTCCTGAAGGCATTTCAAATTCAACGTGGCAAAAAGCATAAGCTCTTTATTTTCCCACCTGTGCTTGCTTCTCTTCCACTAGTCTGTCTCATTCTGGTAATCACCATTAGCCAGTCCAGAACCATCTGCCGATCCTGGAGGTCATCCCAACCGCCCCCCTTCCTATCCCTCACTCTGAATCCAACAGATGCCTCTTGAATTCGTTAGCTCTTCTCCATCCTCAGTGACAGCGCCTTGATGTAGGCTTTTTTTTTTTTTTTTAAAGATTTTATTTGAGAGAGTGAGCACCAGTGGGGTGGAGGGGCAGAGGGATAGAGAGAGCAGCAGACTCCCGCTGAGCAGGGAGCCCGATGCGGGGCCCGATCCCAGGACCCTGGGATCATGACCTGAGCCGAAGGCAGACGCTTAACCGACTGAGCCACCCAGGCGCCCCTGATGTAGGCCTTTTAATTCCTCACTTGGACTTCTGCAGTAGTCTCCCAACTGGTCTTCCAGCTTGCGTTCCTGTCCCCATCCAGTCCACCGCCCGTACTGCCAAGTTATCCTTTAAAAATTCAAATGCGTCCATGTGATGAGAGACTGTCCGAGCCTCTTCCATGAGCGCCTCCCATGAAGCTTTCATGAGATGATCCTTGCCCTCATTTCTCCACGTTCTCCACGTCGCACTCTACGCAGCCACATCCGGCAATCTGTCCTCTGTAACCAGGCCGTGGTTATGCCACGGGCCCCGGTACGAGCTAGCCTTTTACCCCAGATGCTCTTGGGTTCCTTCTTTTCTTACTAAATTCTTCTTCTTCTTCTGAACCGTAACTAAACCTTCCCCTTCTCCGGGAAGCCTCTCCTCACTTTCCCTTCCTTCTTTGGTGCCCTCCGTGCCCCCTCAAACCTCCATGATAGCTCTTACCACACCCCCCACCATTTGCTTAGATATCCGGATCCCCCTACATACTGGGGACCCCCCTGAAAGCAGGGACTGGGTCTTATTCTACCTTGAATCCTTGGTATCTGCTGTGTGCCTAGCACCCAGCGGGCATGCTGAACCGAGAACAGTGATGCCTTCGGCTCTCCAGACCCTGAAGCAGAAACCCTACCGACCACAACTCCACCTCCTGTAATAAAGTTGTGTGTAATCTTGGGGAGGGGCTTTGTAGACCAAGGAAACCAATCCACCAGTGGACCATTCCTGATCTCCCTTCACAGGCGATTTATTTTCTTTCCCCCACAGGCAACTTTTCCTTGAGACAATTCCAGTAACAGAAATGAGCACGAGTGCGACCTTGTGCCCTACCTGATCGTGATGATCTGCCCGATGCCCAAGTCCAGGCCGTTCAACTGTGCAATGAACACGGCCGCCACTGCTTCATAGAGGGCAGTCCCGTCCATGTTGATCGTAGCCCCCACGGGCAGCACGAACCTGGTGATCCTCCTGTCCACCTGGTTCTTTCCTTCAGCACAGCGGAAAGTGACTGGCAGTGTGGCAGAACTGTGAGAGAGAAAGAGAAAGGAACCTATGGTCTAACGCCGGAGCTCAATCCCTGTCTGAAGAGACACTTCATTGCCAAAAACCAAACCCAGAGCCCAAAGCGTGCTGGCACTTTCGGCAGGTCCAGGAATGAGAATGTGCTGGGTCTGCCGCTGCTCCAGGTTATGGTATAACCCATTCTTGGGCTGCAGGCCGTGCCACGAGGGCAGGAAATGCCCAGCAGGGGGCAGAAATATTCAAGGACACGGGCAGAGAATACAGAGGTCATTCCTTGAGTTAAAGGCAGCTACTAAGTCTTCAGCTTCACATGTGGCCGGGACAGCTCTCAAGTGTGACCGGTGAGAGCTGACAAGGTGTGGCCCAGAGACTTCTCCCGGACACCCCTCCGCTATTCACCTGGAAGAGATCATGAGAGCTGTCAGGAGAGCCTGAGCCATTCCCATGGCAAACTGGAAAGGGTTCTTCCGTACGACTATGAAGTAGATCAGTGGGAGGATGACGATGGAGTGGATCGCGAGTCTGAAAACAAGAGAGAGAAGCAGGTGCATAGAGGACACACCTCCTATTAATCCTTTTTTCCAAAGAGCTTTTTAAAAAATTCATGATAGATCACTTGATTTCCATAATGATCCAAAAGAAAATGAGAAGTACGGCAGGGATAGATGTCTCCATTCCACCAATGAGGATGAGGAGACTCACCTAGCAAATGAAGTGTCTTGTCAAAGTGGTGCAGCCAGTAGCTGAATCCACATTTCAGAGCTCACAGAACACGTATGTCACACTGCCAAGCCCTGTATGTGCTATTCCTGCAATAGGTGCTAAGGTACTTTCACTTCCTTCTGCTTGCTGAATCCTTACCCCTCTTCTAAGACTCAGCAAAAGGTTCCCCCCTCCTCCAGGAAGCCTTCCCTCACCTCCCTAGGTCGAGTGGACCTTTCCTTCTTGGCAGCTCTGTGGCTCCACACACAGTGCTACCAGAAACCCTCATCCTACACCCAGCCCCTCTGTTCCCTGGAGCACACTGCTGTCCTGCTGGATGGTGTCCACCATCCAAGAGGGCAGGCAGGTTGCAGGAAGGAGCGAGTCCCTGCTCTCCTATAGTCATACTTCAGGATTGACCCTCTTTTCTTTGTTGTTCCTGCCTTCCGAAACGACTCCTTGTTTCACGTAGGAATATACAGGTTACACAAAACAGGGGGCTTAAAAAATGAGATCGATCCAGCAGGTGCCATGTAAGAGTTTACAGATCAGTTATTTAAAGCTGAAGTAAGAAATGGCCATTGAAAATACAGATCCTGAAGATCCATCGTGGGGGTCTTCTAGATAGCAGGCATGTGACTAAGAACTAGGAGAAATTTAGTTTTCTGTTAGAAACCCAGGTAGGACAATTGAACAGGAACCAGCAGAAATGTGTTCTAAAATGGCTCAGCATAATAAACCTCAGCCAAATCACTCCCTGGACACAGGCCCTGGCCTCTAGAAGGGTAGACAGCCCTGCTCCCGTGCGGCTAGGGCCCTGGGATCGGATGCTGGCCCTCCCATTGTGGACACCCAGGCTTCTTCTCGTTGGCTGGAAGGGCTGTGCTTTAGGTAAACACAGATGGACTCCCCAGGGAACTCAAGTTCCAACAGGTAAGCTCACTGCTCAAGGTGGGTGTTTGGGGGCACTGACCTGTGGGAGTGTTGATGATGTTTATTCATTCCCTTGGTCCATATTTCTTAGCACATGTGACGTATCCTGCCCCTGCTAGATATCCAGGGGCACCATTCCTAACTTATCTCACCCTACCTCCCCTCCAGGAACCAATAACTGGGCTGCAATAAATATGCAAATGACCTGTCCCCTGCTGCCTCCCTGCTTTACCCAGTTCGTCCCAGCCTGAAGATTTTCCCAGCATCCTCTCTGACACTCGGATGGTACTGGGCATGGTAGCAGTGCCCAGCCCCACCAACGGGGTTGGAACCAACCGGCCACTCGCTCCTACTTGCTCGAGTCTCATTTCATTCAGGCCCTGCCTGATTTCTTTCTTGGGGCTGTGGTCCTTGTGGGCTATTCTTACAAGTTTGGTGAGTTTCCATCCTTGAAGAAGTGAATGCCAAGAGAGGCTTCCAGTGGGTTCTGCTCGTTTCAATAAAGGATCTTAACACAACTAATAAAGGCAGCAGTAAACCATGGTCCAGGCTGTTCTGCCAAGATCTGGCAATTAGCACAGTGTGATCCTCCCCCAGTACAGCTGTTAAAGGGCAGTCCCCCCACCCTGCTCTCTTATCTCTGAACCCCATCTTCCTCAGCACGAGGGAGAAGCCAATTATAACTGAAACACAGCTTCTCAGCAGCGACCCAGCAGCTCAAACACAGTTCCCGCTTCCTCTCTCGAGTCTGCCATACCCACTCAGGACGGTGGCCACGTAAAGGCCCAGCTTGCGGAATATTTCCCAGTCTTCGACTTCTATGATCTTCCCGGCAATCAGGAACAAAATGCCGAGTGGCATATAACTAGAATGTAAGCACAGCAAAGACACTTCCGTCATCAGGTGTCTCCTCGAGGTGGGATTGCTGGGGAGGAAACAATCCAGGGCGTGCACCTCGGCTCGGCACATGCGCTCGGCTGGGAGGAGCACCTGGTTCACAATGAGGCTAAGGTTTCGGGCTCAGGCTCTGGTGGACCACACTGGAGCCAGGATTTAGTGCCTGTGCGTGCACCTTCAATTCCACCCACCTAAGCTACCTTGGGTGAGCGAACTTGGCAAGAACGTGTGGTTAAACAGGGGCCTGACCTGTGCCATGCTCCCGAGGCACATACGTCCTGCCGATGGTCCCGGGTGCAGATCTCATTTTTGCCTGACCCTCCCTATACGGCCACCACGCTCCTTCTAGCCTGGGTCATCTTGTCTTGTAGTACTATCAGCCACAGAGCAATACACTTAGTCGTGGAAGTGGTCATAACAGCTCTTTTTGTGGAGCTCTTACTGCCTGCCTTGTATTGGGTTAAGTATTTGACATGCATCATTTCCCTTAATGTACTTTTCCCACCTCGAGGGGTAGACTTTTATTATCCTTTTTTTACACATGATGAAGCTGAGGTTCAGCGGGAGTAAGTGGCCGAAACCACTGTCAATGTCTACACTTCAGAGTAAAAAGTGTTGAGTCAACTCAATATGAGGTAAGTGGGGGCAGAGATCACCTCGAAAAGGCAGACTTGTTGGCCCCTCCAGGGACAGGGCAGATACTCAGGTGGTGCTGCTGGTGTGTTCTCATCCAAATGGCAGCTTTCATTTGGATGGAAACGAAATACAGTTGCAAGTATTTTGAATATCACTTCTGCAATGGGCCTAACAAGGAAAGCACTTAGTTTTGACGTGCCAGGAACCCCTTCAAGTCATTATTTTAAGAGTTATTTCTTAGATAAATGCCAGTTGGGTGCAAGCTGACCAAGGGCTTTGGTAGAACAGGCAATGGCTGATACTCAGATTCTTGTTTGTCAACTAACTCCTGAGTAATACGTAGAATTACCGACCACTGTAGTGTCTCGACATTCCGTGTTCATCCTTCCTAGGGTGAGGTCAGTGGAGAAACATAGGTCCCTTTATTCTAACTTTGAGGGGACAATTGTCAGGAGAAGCAAGATGGCATTCACTGGCATCTGCTCACCACATAATGATCTGAACGATCTTCATGGTTGCATCACTCAGAGCACTGAAGAAATCCACCAGAATCCGCCCTTTTTCTCCCATTTTTCCAATGACAAGTCCAAAGACGAGGCAGAAGACAACTAAGCCCAGGACATTTATGCCGTCCGAATACATGCCTACGATTTTGGATTCCTGTGTTTTGTTCTGCGGATCAAAACCAAGAGAATATATTAACGCATGATTATAATTTTGTTGGAAGGCAGAGGCCCTGAAATGAGAAGATACGGCAGCCAATGCAGTAAGTCAGTAAATCTACCAGTCGGAGTCAACAGCACTTGCGGAGGAAACAACAACAAACCACCTACACATGTATCAAGTCTGTACCCCCCCCGCCCCCGCCCGCTGCCGTGGAAGTTTAAAGTGATTTTTTGGTTCTCTTTCTCAAAAAACCCAAACTTGAAGATTTCTTTTGAAGAGTTCTTATTCTGGGATGTCTTACGTTTTTCAAAAGAACTTTAGAATCAAGGCACTTCTTGAGGTTATTTGAACTACTAGCTACGTTTGGAGTCCGCGTGAAAAAGACAGGCATTCAATAATGCAGGGAGCGCAAAATATTTACTACGGTGAACATTTTTATGTTATCTGTTTTATCCTGATAGTGAAGCACAGAAACATTCTTTACTGCCTAACCTTGGATGACCAGAAGGACTTTAGAGATGTAAATATTAACCAAACAGCTGCTACCGTGAACCATTTCTTCACCTTATCCTGGGTAAGAACAGCATGAGTGATGCTGAAAAAAACTTCATCTGAGTGGGGCAGCGTGAGATTTACTGAGCGATTTCATAGGCATAGATAAATGCCAGTTGGGTGCAAGCTGATCAAGCGCTTTGGTAGATATCACAGGGAGATAACGGAACTGGAGTCGTACAAGCCAGCTTTACAAAGTATTATAAATGGTTGAAGCTCCTGGCGTGCCCGTCATTTTTTTTTACTTATAATCTGATATACTCAAACACATATTTACCGAGCATCGAGAGTGTGCTAACAGCACCAGCTACAGGGTAAATCTTAAAATACGGCTAGATAGATAAGATTAAGCGTAAGAAAAACAAGCCAGTGATAGCAAGATGGTGTGTAACTAACTGCATCGCCAAGCCACAGGTTGCTGGCATCAGGTGGAGACCGAATGGAGGCCACGGGGTTGGGGAGAGCTCAGCCTGAGTGGCAGACGGCCAGGAGATGGAAGAATATTCCAGAAAAATGGCATAGCAGAGGCAAAAGTCATCATGCACCAGGCTGCCCTACTCTGCCTGGAGAGTTCCTACTCCTCCTTTATGGCCCCCAAACTAATTTAAGCCTCTGTTGTTGAAGGCCCCTGAGTACCCTGTCCTTCCCTATTGCCACTGCCCGTCACATGAGGGCAGAGGCCACCCCTACCTGCTCCATTGGCATCCCAATGCCCAGCAGGGCCTAGCTCATGGCGGGGTGCTTGCAAAAATCTTCGTGGGATCACGTGCAAAGGTGGGAATAAGGAGAAACGGAGGAGGTGGGTCTGGATGGGGTAGATAGGGCCACTGGGAGGGGAGCTGGGAAACCAGGGAGGCGCCCAGACGTGGAGGGCCGCTGAGCCAGCCGGAGGACCTAAGGCTTCTGCAGTAGGAAGTAGGAGCCAACCGCGGGCTATCTAGTTGGAATTCCTCAGTCTCCCAAACATTTGTTCCTTAAATCTTCTCTGTCTGTGTGGTGCCAGAGAACGTTCAGCAGAAATCCACCACAGGACTATAGAGGTTCTCCTTCAGGCCCTACGGTCTTGGCTCTAATGCTGAAATTCCAACAGCTCTCAAAACCCAGGAGTTTTATTGACGAGAGGATGGCCAACTCTTGGTGGCAGAACCTACCCTGAGCTGAACTGAGGCTACTTATGGTTTACTTCTCTTATCTGGCAGGATATTCGAGAGTCTGCTGCAGAACTATCGATGTCTTTGATCCTATTTCCCATTTCAGCATGTTGCATGACATACAGTGCCTACACCGCATGGCGCATCAAGAGTGAGAAACTCCGGACTCTAGGTGCACCTGGGTGGCTCAGATGGTTAAGCGTCTGCCTTCAGCTCAGGTCATGATCTCCAGGTCCTGGGATCGAGCCCCCGCAACGGGCTCCCTGCTCCGCGGGAAGCCTGCTTCTCCCTCTCCCACTCCCCCGCTTGTGTTCCCTCTCTCGCTGTGTCTCTCTCTGTCAAATAAATAAAATCTTAAAAAAAAAAAAAAAAGGAAACTCTGGACTCTGAATCACATCTGGGCAGAGAGTTTCAGATAAGGGATGTGGCCCCGTGTTCCGTATTTCATGGTCTTGCAAATCTAACGCAGCTCCTAGAGGTGCCCAACTCAACTCAAAGGAGTGACAGGGACAGTAGAGACAAAAAGCCTCATTCTTTTCTCTGTGTGGTTCACTTGCTTCTCGTAATGTTTGGTGGTCTCATTCTACAAAGCGGTCACCCACCAACACTGAGTTAGCAAATACTGAATCCTCGTTCCTAGGGGACATACAACAAGGTCAGGTTCCTGGGGACCAATGTTCACAACATTTTCATCCAATAATCGGTCTATAACCTTCCTTTACGTATGTTTCTGTTAAAGAACACATAAATGTTTAATATATATTGTGCAGTTATGAACACTGAACTCAACCAACACTGTCAGGCCTGAGTGAGGCTGATCTAAGGCACATGTATTTTCTATCTGGCACATCAGAGCCTTCTGGCCCTGAGAACCACACACAGCGCTACAGCACTATGCTTGGGGGACATTTTAAACAGTGAAATCATCATAAAAAAGCACAAAAATGTGAAAAAATGTGGCATAAACACACCACTAAAAGAACAATTGTTTACAAGAGAGCTGAAACAAGAAGGCAGAGCCTGGGGCGTCTGGTTGGCTCAGTTGGTAGAGCATGCGACTCGATCTCAGGGTCATGAGTTCAAGCCCCCGTTGGGCATGGAGCCTACTTGAAAAAAAAAAAAAGGCAGAGCTCAGCCTGTTCATCCTCAGCTGGGAATGTGTGTGCTGGGCGACTTAAACTTCTTACCACTCCTTGTCTGTCTACAAATGACGTGGGAGCATCGTGTTCATTTGGGGGGTTACAAATACATTTTAGTGGGTAGACAAATTCACAAGTAGTGAGGACTGTCTTTCCGTCTTCTGCTTGCTCCTCACAACTCAGCCCCTGCCTACTGGGGAAGGGGCACGGGCGACAAGGTACCTTGGAAATGGCAGTTGTCATGATGGCCGTGACAGGTGCGTCTGTCATGTTCGTCCCTGGCTCACTGGGAGTATTCACTTCTTCACGTTTGGTTTTGTACTGCATGTTGGAGGGAAAAAGAAGACCAAAGAAACAAACAAAATAATAGCTTTTCAAGCATCTGAGCCTAAACCACAGGAATATGTTACTTCGGCTAAATGAGTACCACGGAAGGCTTCTGCTTCTGTCGCCTCTCTTGGCTCCCGTGAGGCTTTGGAAGCAAAAAGCGAGACCGTGAAATCCAAACCCTGATTCCCACAGCCACCGTTCAATGATGTCAGAATGTTCTCTTTCATAAGAAGGGACAAATTAGCAGAGCGATAACGGGAAAGAAAGTATAGGTTTTATCTGGAGGAGCTTTAACAGACGCTACAGGGATCCTGCCAATCATTTTGTTTCTATTTGTTTATTCATTTATTATTTTTAATGTGGGCGAAACAACCTCATTACTTCGCTAAATGCAGTCACCACGACTTTAGTACATGTCAAGAACTATATGGTTGTTCCAAAAGCAACAGCCCGTTTAGGGCCAGTCCATGAGCGAGATTTCTGTTGAATTTCCTTCCTTCAGCTCTGCTGGGTTCTGCTGAGCTTCAGCAGAGAGGTTTAAGAAAGAGCTAGTATACTATTACACCAGGCATCAACGTCACTCCTCCGAGGCTCTGCCAACCTTGAGAACCTTACAAATGACCACTGAGGCTGAACCTTGAAATAGAGGTAGTTCTGTGCCTCTTGGAGGTCGGCAGGGAGCAAGCTCATGGCCATTTTTGTTGGTATACACAGACGGCTCTGTCCGTGTAATTTATGTAAATGAACTCAGCAGTTTGGGATAGACTCCGCTGTCTTCAAGTGCACAGACAGAGAGAAGGGCAGCAAGGAAACGGAGTGAAGAGACCGTGAGGCTTTCCTAGAGAAAAAAACCAGGGCTTTGTTACATGGCCGGGGGGTGGGGCATGCCGGCAATGAGCACGCGAGGATTAAGGAAAAGACCAAACACCACGAACACAAAGCCCCCTGGGGGTTAGATACTGCTCTCCCGACATGAGGGAGAAAGGAGAGAGCAGACGGGGTTGCTTCTGCAGGGTGCTGCATCTGCAGACAATCTAAGATTCTTTGCAAATACCACGGGGTTCTCCAAAAACAGGGAAAGGGAGCCTGGGTCAGGTCCAACAGGGACTTTCCGGGGCCCCAAAGACCAGAGGTATGAAGCAGAGAAGTCACCTACGATGGCTCCAGGTGCATATTCATAGGTTCATTTCCTGCCATTTGGGATGGGCTCATTCCAGTTCCTGGGTCATAGCAGGACATAAAAATCTGAATGGGTAAAGTGAAGAGGGGAGCAACCTGGAGGCAAAAGTCATTATGATTACCTGCTGAAAACAGGCTTGGACAAGATTCTCAGGGAACATATTCCTGTTGGAGACATGAAAAGCAGTGTCACATTAAGGCAAAAGTGTTTTGTTTTTGGTTTCTGTCATACCCAATACATTGGTGAACATGAGGAGCACACAGAATCAGTCCTCTGGTTTCTCTTCTGGCTTCTCCTTTGCAAATATTTCCTTGGATTAAGATTTTTTCCCCCCATGCTGAGCTGCAACCAAGTCTAGAAAGTGCTCTTAAACAACCATCACTTAGCTGATTCACTGAGTAACTGGTACGCTCATTGTCCTTGGTGCCACATAGCACGGGCAGGTGGACGCTCACAGTCAAGGGACGTCTTTAATCTTCTGTCCCCTTCTATGTTCATGGATGAGAATGTATGCTCACCAAGAGTCACTGCAATTGTTCCCAAGGTCTTTATGCCAATTGCAACTATCAGCGTAATTACTGAATTACAAATGACGTGAATCGATGGAACAGGACTATGAAACGGAAGGTGTGGTTTTTGTAAATGCTAAACTCAATGCCTGGAAACTCAACCAAAGCAAGTGACTAAAATTTCTGTGGTTCAATTAGGTTTGGGAGGGCCACTGAAATGGAAAGAAAAACTGGCACTCAGCTTTCTTTGCAGTTTCTGAGGGTTTTGTTGCTCTCCTTCATGGAAACTGAACCTGGAAACTGTACATGATGCTTTTGTAAGGGCAGCAGGTGCAAGAGAAATGATACGAAATTATAATCAACTGACACACCTGAAGGGAAGACCATGGCCCTATGTCAGAAATCAGCAGATAAATGCCATTCAAAGCCTCAACAAAATATGTCATGCATATCTGTGCCATTTTTTTTACGATTCTCTGCTTTAACGACTCCCTTAAAATTAACTGACCAATTTCCAGCCCTGATTGCTTCTGATAAAAGGGTTTCTCCTGTACAATTAAAAAGTATATTTCTTTAAGTGTGCTTCAGAACTGACCCCCACCCAGTCCAGCATCTTAATGCAACAAGTAGGTACTTTCTGCATCTCTGTCCATCCTGATTCCGGACAGAAGAGCCTGTTCCTCCCACCCCTCTTGGAACCACACTCTGGGCAAGCAGGCCTGGCTATGTAATTTTGGGGCGCAGGGCTCACTGAACACATGCAATGATTCAAAAACTATCAGAAATTTCAAACCAGCGAGAGCAGAGCCTCGGAGCAAGCATGGGTCCCGTGTGATCGCAGCCTCACAAGCCCATGGAGCTGCCCGGCTGGCAAGACACTCACCTGATCAGATCTAACATGGCGTCCACCGTACTGACTTCGGGGTTGCTGCCTGTCCTGTCAATCTCATCCACTTTCTGGGACACGCCAGGCTTGATGCTCACCACCAGCACGATGCCTGTGGCCAAGGAGAGTACCACAGAGCATTAAGAACCTTCTAGAACATCTGCGCCCCCTGTGCCCCCCGCTCCCGCCATCCTTCTTAGAACGAGTAGGCATGGTGGCACCAGACAATACTGGAATGAGGACTCTGAGGTCCAGCCAAGATGCTGAGCCTCAGCTGGGACCTCAGCAGGGCCTTAATGACTTTTCCATTTAAACGAAGCAGAAGGAACTTTTCCTTTTTTTTTTTTTTTAAATGAAGAGGCTGCATTCCGGAATTGCTTCTGGAAACACCTGCTGATGAGAATTTTCTATTTTCTTTGTTTTAGCTTATGAGGTCAGCCTAGGCAGGGGTTGGGGTGAGGGTGATTCCTTTTCCAGCTCAGGGCACCCACTCAATGTCTTCATGTAACTTTTACCCACAGATGCTGGTTATTTTCCTGAGGCTCCTACAGAACAAGCCTTCTCTTCCTTCCATACCCCAAGCCTTAAAAAATCTGGAAAACTGTTGTCTAATCCAAAAAAGGGTCAGGGTTAGGAAAAGTAGTATTCCCTGTGACTCTGAGGGGACGGAATGGGGACAAACAGGCATTACAGGGAGAGATAATTCTTGCCGAAAGGAACTGTCTAAACAGGGAGTATCTGAGAGTGCCATTTTGGCCCCTGGAGGTAATGGGTTCCTGTCCTTTGAGGTGTCCGAGCAGAGATGGGAGGCTGGAGAACAGATCAAGGCATCAGAGACTGCTTGACTGGGGGTGGGGGGGTGCCAATCCACGGGGGCAGGACCTCAGGACGCTGAGCAGTTCAGTTTTGCCAGTGAGAAGAGTCAGTGGGCGATGCAAGGACCATGGTGGGTGTGGTTCCCTCTTCCCTCTCAGGGTTGCTGGAGAGAGACATACACCAACTTTTCCCTTCATGTCTCCCTCCCTCAGGAACCTCATGAGGAGAAGTGGCTTTGGTTTAAGGCAGGGTTCAGCCCCTCCTCGGTGCCCTTTAACAATCCATTAAAGCAGCAGCAGGGTCACGCTGGCTGCAACATCTGACTACATCCCAGCCTCTCTTCCCACTCGGGGCATCCTTCTTGAAACGTTAGGTCACAAAGGACGGACTGCATTTTCTTCACAGAAGAAGGCCAAAGGTACAAGAGCAGCGATAGTTCCGTATTAGAACCTTCTCCCTTTTTCAAGCGGAATTTATACTTGGCAAGACGCTGCGAGCTCCCAGTACCATGTGAAATCTGAAATGCACTGAAATGCCATCGTTTTGGAAATATTTCACAATTACACTCAACTCCACTATTACAGACTAATTACTCAGTTTACAAATTATATAAGCTCTTGGCTTCACCTCCTTCCACCCAGTGAACCTGGTAAAGCACAGAACTCTTACCCTCTTTCTGTTTCTTTCTAGGGACATGAATAAGCAGCATGATGGCTGAACCTTAGTCAGTATTGTATTTTCTTCATAGAAAAGGTGCTGGGGAGACTTTAAGCCCAAAGGCTTCACGGTGGTTTGACCAAACTACTTTTTGAATTAAAAAAAAAAAAAGTGCCTTAAAAAATGTCCAGCTACTTTTAAAGGAAAAGTCACCACTATACAGAGGAATAAGGAATCAGAAATAGATTTTACCTAGAATTACAGCAATGACAGTAGTACAGAAATAATATATGACGGCACGCAGACCAATTTTCCCAGATACACTGGAATCCAGCGCAGCTACACCTGCAGTGGGGGGGGAGGGGAGAAGTCAAGTTACATTAGTTTTTAAAAGAAGTCATTTCCAGGACTGGAGGTCACTCAATCCTCAAGGTGTGAAAGAAAGCGCTGAGAGCCGTCCTCTGCACCTGCTAGGCCTATCTCACACATTTTGTTTGGCTAAGATGCAATGGGCAAATCAGCTCCTCAAAACTGCAGACAAGGAATAGAGATGGAAGACGGGCAAGGGGCAGGCTTGTCTCCCCCGCTCACCCCACTGCCTGGTCAGCAGCTGCTTCAAGAACTTCGTCAAGATTTGTATGTCACGTCACCCCACAGCCTTCAGGATAAACCCCTTCTGGAATTCAGGATCCAGAAAAAGTTGATCTTGGAAGGACGGAGATGGTTCTTTCACTCACATAATGAACATTGTAAAAGTCACGATTGTTTCCCCAGCTGCCTTTTTCTGTCAGGGAGCTCAGAGTCAACCAAAAAGAAAACTCTGGTGTGTGATTATGAAAGTAGTATGTGTTTGTGATAATAATCTGAAGGAAGGAAAATAAAAATCACTCCATCTCATCAGCTGTAGTGAATTTCCTGTCAATATTTTTTCTTGATTTTTTGGTAAACATAGCTAATTCTACAGTTTTTAACCCTCTCTTATTCATACTGTATTATAAGAATTTTCTTCTTATAAATTCCCCCTGAGGGTAATTTTAATAGCTACATAATCTTGTCATACGACCATACCATAATGTATTTAATGATCCACTTATTGCCGGAGCTTTGGAGAGTCTTGGAGCCGACTTCCATAATAAATCACAGCAATTTCATTATTTATCCTGGCTAGCACATTTTCTTCTTTTCATGATTTTCAAATCGCTTCTACGTTAACAACCTTATCGTGGATGGCTTGGTGAGACAACTTAAAATATCCGTCTTCAAGAGGTAGGATATAAATAGAGAATTCCAATTTGTAAGTTTTCAATTTAAGAGACTTATGGCCACACTGTTCGCTGTAGGCTCAAATGGTCTTTGGTGGCCTCTAAAATGACTGAACGTCGCCTGGAACTGGAAGGGTTGTCTAGAGCGTCGAGAAGAGTTGTAGAGGTGGGAGACACATATCCCTTCTTGTGAGAAAGCCTTGCCCTCCAGTAAAGATGCTTCTCTAAAGTGAGCCAAATGATGCAGCTATCTGGATAGCGTCTATGTTGGAAGACGGGCATGTGGAGAAGCAAGCAAACCACCTTTCAGCAAGCTGTTATTTGAAGGTTTCAGACCCTATCCTGCCCGATTTCCAAAATGAGAACCTCATGTTGAGCCAAACGATCATCACAGAAAATCACTGCTTGAATCTCTGGCCTGTGTGAGCGGTCCCATAACCATGAGCAAAGCCTGAAGTGCAGGGCAGCCCCAAGGAAAGGCCATAAACCTGTAGGCTAGCAGCAGGCACAGATAGCTTGTATATTCACTCCTGACACTATAAAAGGCCCGTCTATTTTTTTTTAAAGTGACCGGGGGACTACGCTTCTCACGTATAATTGTACATGTTCAATGAATGGGACAAATCTGGAAGGGAAGCTGTCATCATGATGACAGGACAAATCATCTCTCAGAAATGAATGAACTATCTCTTATTTCACTTTGGTCTCTTAAAAAAAGAGCAAACAGGGGTGCTTGGGTGGCTCAGTCGGTTAACCACCTGCCTTCGGCTCAGGTCATGATCTCCGGGACCTGGGATGGAGCCCCAGGGCAGGCTCCTTGCTCAGCGGGGAGCCTGCTTCTCCCTCTGCCCCTCCCCTGCCTGTGCTCTCCCGCTCACTCTCTCTCCAATAAATAAATAAAATCTTAAAAAAAAGCAAACAATAATGCAAATATGTAAGTTTGCTAAGTTTATTATATGAATATAAAATGTGCTCTAATATCCTGATATTTCAGAGCTCTGGGCATTATTTTCATAAACCAAAATAATTATTTATATCAATAAGGTGATTAAAAAAAAAAGAAAATCAGCAATTCAACAAAACTCCAGGTAACCTGTATCAGCACACGTAATCCTGGTCCAAGAGAGGATGTATTTTCAGACGTACTGTCCTTCGGTAGATGTCTAATTTCAGCGGCTCCCAGCCCCTAAGGGGCTGACAAGTGACAGGCTCACAGGGTAGCTGCAGAACTGTTCTAGGGTATGTGTTTTGTGCCCTCCTGGGGTTTTCCTCCAGCAGGGAAACAAATTAAATCTATGTAGGTAATTGTTTCCAGCATATGTTAATATGTCTTAATTTGTCTTAATGATCTGGCCATGGGGCTGGTGCCTCTGCTTCTATTCCAGGACCCAGCTGGTAATAAAAGGCTTCATAACAATGAGATTCCTGGTGGAAATATCTTAAGCAAATACACCCCCAAAGCAGCCAGCCAGCTCCTCTCTGCTGTACTACAGCACGTGTCTTGTAGTGACTTTCGGAAAGGGCTTTATTCCTCAAATCTACTTCAGTCCTACAATTCTCCTGGATAGATCAGAAATGCATTCGAACCAACCATCGTCCTTCTCTACATTTTACCTCTAGAGTTCCCCTTCCACCTCTCCAGTCATCACCGATCCGGGGCAGAGCTGGCCCCCAAGTCCAGGCTCTTGGATTTACAACGTGGTGCTGAGGACAGAGGTGGGGACCACCGCAGAGGTTGGGAACCTAAGCAGGAAAACAGCCTCATCTTTGAAAACCTCCATAAGCAACAAGAACATGCCTGAACCTGATTTGAAGATAAAATGCCTGTCTGGATGTCCTACTCACCCCACCTGCCAATCACAGCGACGATGCTGATGATAATTATGATAAAAATGATGATGGCATACACCCCGTGTAGCGGGTGATGAGTGCAGGTTAAGTGCATTGCCTTCTTTTATGCTCGAAATTCAGGGTTCATCCCTGAATCCCAAACCCAGATTCGACCCCAAAAGCCACATTCTTAACCACTATGTCCGGCTGGTCTATCCACGTGCTACCAAATTCTAGACCAGTGCTGCCTCATGCAACTTCTGGGATGGTGGAAATGCTATTTGTACTGTCTGACGTAGCCACAAGCTACGTGCAGCTAACGAGCCCTGGGAACGGGCTAGTGGGACTAGGAATTTTCATCTTGCTTAATTGTCATAATCTCGCACGTGGGGTAACGGCTGCCATGCTGTACAGCACAATCTCGAGACCTTTCCAGAGTGTCCAGCATTTAGTGGGTGCTCAGTAATGTTGAACGAACAAACTCAAGCTTAACTCTGCTACAAAATTCAGGACAGCCTCTTTACCTTGCCAGCACAGGGCCAGGGGGGACCCGATGATGAACCATCATTTCCAGGGATGCATTTCCATCACAACACTGACCCCAAGGCCTAAGGCTTATTCTTCTCTGTGTCCCCAGGGCATTAAATAAGGTGCTTTACGAATTTTGTACTTGATGCTTTTCCTGACAGGAAAAAGCTGCTTTCTTTTTTCTTTTCTTTTTTTTACAGGTAGTCCCCTCGTTATAACATGATCCACTCATGTGTCAAAGATCCACTCATGTGTCAGCAATTAGGAACTCGGCGGGTAGGTTCCTGAGAAAGCACTTATGCAAGGCAGTTTTGTTCAGTTCCCAGGGTGACCAACAACAACACTCTTCATACCTGCTAGACTTTCATGGGAGAACACATTCAGTATCTTAGCTTCTCTACCTTTTTTCCCCCATCACTGTGTGCTCTCCCTGCCCCCCCACCCTTCTAGACACTTCCCCATGAAATCTTAATACTACAGAAAACTGTGTATCTGTGTGTGTACTAGATGTATACATGTGCTTTTTACATAAAGAGTACATTTCTCCCCCTAACCCTAAGGAATCAGTCTTTGCTGCCTTGGAGGGGATATCGCTCCTGTTGAGAACGTGTGGTCTCGCTCAGTGGATGTCATGCGAATGGTACCTTAATCCAGATGTTGGACTCTGGAGAAAGCACCTCTCCATCACTTCCTCGGTCACACCCAGCCACGTGTGGCTCATGGCTACGACATCAGCACAAATAGAGACTGTTTCTACCACCACCGGAAGTCCCATAAGGCAGCGCTGGTCTAGAATTTGGTGGTGCATGGATAGAACCAACATGACATAGTGCTTAAGAATATGACCCCCATCACTTACTCGGGGGAAAGGTTGAACAGCACGCTCACCTTCATCCCAAACAGGTGGGACATCACTGTGCTTTATCCTGGGGTTTTACTGTCCACAGCCACCTGGATTTCAGGCCATGCCTCACACCTGGTGAAGCCTGGTCACCCCTCTTTGCAGTCCACCCCCAGAAGCCACTTCCTCTGGGAACGGACAGATGAGAGGAGACTGCACACTGACACATTACACGGCAGGGGTGATGGGTTTGCCCAGAAACCGGAGGTCAGGGTTTAAAACCGTTTATAGCGATTGGACAAGGATTTTATGTTTGTTCAACAGAAACACAAAAAGTAGGGCTAGCGCTTTGTATGTCTTTGCTTTTTTTATATCTTTACCTTGTAATTCATTTTTATCCTAGTTTACAAAGATTATCGATCTGTGACAGACTGGAAGTGAAAAAAACAAAACAAAACTGGATCTCTCCCATCCATCTAAAAAACTGGATGCTTCGCAAAGCCCTGGCACAGAGGGTGGGTCCTGTGGGTTTTTGGAGGGGCCAGAGATGTCGCCAGGGGGAAGTTATGTGGCAGACAGCATCTGAACTGGGCAGAAAAGGGTGAGCAGGATTCTGACAAAGGTTCTTTGCTTGGCCATAGGCTCCTGAACCTTCTCCTAGGCCCATCTGTCTACTTCCAGCAAAATCCAGGTTTAGCAGGAACTCTGCTATGTTAGTTCGACTGGAACCCCCACCCTCGATATCTAGTCGGGTTCTCTGTCCTCCACCATCCCCCGGGGTGATGTCTGGCCACCCTGGCCTGTCTCCAGAAAGAACCCTGTTAGCTCAGTGTGGCCGGAATCCCCCAGGACCCCAGCTCTTAGTGCTTCTCCACCCACTGACC